CTCAATGATTGTGTCTAACCTTTGTTGAATCCTGCCCACCCTGGGGCACTGTAGGGTCCACTACCCTCTGATTTATGCCTGTTATGTTCCAAGTATTAAAAGGTATATGGTTAAGGCCCCATTGGTGGTCTGGCTCTGCTCTATAGGGGGAGGAGAGTCCCTACACCTCCCACAGCGCTTGTGCACCTGCTTTGATCCCTTCAGTTGGAGAGGGGGTACCTCTTGGAGTACCGCCCGGGTTACACTACAAGACCAGCTCCCTGCTTCCAACAGATAATCTAGATTAAAGAGAGCAAGAGACAGATTAACCCTGGGCATGTCTACACCACAGTGGAAGTGTGTCCTGGCAGGGTTAGTGTCATTATTGGCATTTTAGAGATGTAGAAGCAGAGGCATAAGGTATTGGTATAGTATGCCTTGGAGGCAAGTATTAAGGATTCAAGTCTCTGGAGTCTCAGTCTAGTGTCCTGTCCAGTAGGTCACATTGCCTATAAACCTGACCGAAACATAGACCAAACTCGGTGTTCCAAAAAGACAAAGAATATACTGATAACCTCATAACTTAACACCCCCCTCCACCCGCCCCTGTCTCTGTGCTGGTTAGGATGCAGCAAGTGCAGCTGGATGGCTATTTAGGGGACAGCATGCCGAAATCAGGCACCCTCAATAAGGAAACCCCCGTTTTTCATCATCTCAAGTTAAAGCCTCAGCGAGAAGTTCTTGCCGAGTATAATTTCTCTACTGTGTGGGAAAGCAGGAGGCGGCTGGTGAGGGAGTGACCTAGGCTGGGCCTGAAGTATTTGAGTGAACAGAACTTTGCAGTCAACAGCTGAAACCAATAATTATGCCTTAAAAAATGCAAGCCTGCAGCAAGCACTGAATGGCGGAGAGGTTGTGTAGGGTTATCATAATACGTATCTTCCCTGGGTTATTTCTAAGCCGGAGGAAAGCCCTTCCTATGGCTGTGGCTGATCCCTCGCTTCAGGACTGAACTTTAGATTTCATCAGTGCTTTATCAGTGATAAATCAAGTGTCTCTTGAAGAGTCCTGTTAAACCACTAAGCACCAGGAATTCCAGCAGCTCAGCGAACAAGAACAAGGAGTGGGATCTCCGTCTGCAGCGGGGGAAATTACTTGGCAAAAGCTCTGTAGCCCAGGGTGATGCCATTCTTCCTTTCAGACAGAGCAAGAGCATTGATACTATCGGGCGTCCATTTACATACCTCCACCAATGCTTAACACGTTACACCTTGTGTTCAGGCTCTGCTACCACTTCAAAGCCCTCTTTCCCCTGGTATATTTTACCATCATCTACTATTTACAAGAGAGCAGCGCTCTCCTGCAAAACAGCATATCATAGGAGGGAAAAAATAAAGGTGAACAAAAATATCTATAATTAAGCATAATCGTTTCCCTCTCATATTGTACCATCTATCTGTCTGTCAGCCTGTCTAGCTTAGTCCCTATTAATCCTGCACTAAATAGCTGCTTATTGCCAAGAGGCCGGTCATAAATCAATTTTTTGGATGCAGCTTGTGCCCAGCTGGTCCCCCATCCAAAATGGTTCTCTCTGCCTATGCCCAGGGTTGTGTAGCTGGCATATTTAAAATTCAGACCTGCTGTAGCCTCCTTGACCTCAGCAGCTGGGGCTCTTAGCAGTGTTTCCCCTGACACTGTAAACCAAATCCAGCTGCAGGGTCTTGTGCCAGGGTGCCGCAGGTATGCTCTGCACTGATCATTAGGGTTGCAGAGACGTTTCCCTAAATATAAGGGATTCATCCCCCAAAGCAAGTATTTTTCATCACTGATTGCTTCCAGTATTCCTGTGTTATAAAAATATATAGAAACCAGGTCCAGGGTGAAGATGGGGAGAGGGGCTTGTGTGGTTTTGTAAGAAGAAAGCTTAAGAATGGATGAAAAGAAGAAAGGTAGTTGGGAAGCTTCTTTCAAATCAAGCAACTTGCCCTTTCATTGAAATAAACTATCATATATATTTCAATGAGCGTTTTGTGGCTAGTAGGTCCTGGGCATCTTTAATATTCACAGTGAGAGTACAATAAACCAGTGCTACTTTCCAATTGTCTCCTATAATGGCAGTGTCCGTTGAATCGTCGGGTGGGGATTTCTTGTGCTTTAAACAATACAATTCATTAGAAGCTCACTTTTCTCACAAACACTACTCTGCATACAGTATCATTGGGAAGAGATTTTTTTTTTTTATGAAATTAAAAAAAAAATATATTGATTTCTCCAAAGCCATAATGGTTTTTGGCTCGCTAGTGCATAACACAATACCCCTGCTGCATTTCTAACTGCAGGGGCCTACCGCTCACAGCTAGGGAAAATGCCTGCTTTCTATTTTACGGAGGGAAAAATCAAATAGCTTTTTAAATAGTTGAAAAACTCATATTGTAATCACTGAGTTGTTTTCCCTTAAAGAAAATATTTCTAAATGTTCTCATGAAAAACACTTGATTGATAGCCTTGGAGGCTGAAGTTCTCTGCTGCTTCACAGAACAAGTCTAATGTAGGCACTGGGGCTAGATACAGACATTTGAAAAGACAGTGGCAGAATTGATCTAGGGGACACGATTTTCTATAAGTGGCGTAGTTTAGATTGGTAGCACATTCGTCCCTTGGTGGGGGGCAGGGAGGGCTTAGACCAGGTTCCTGCATTTTTAACCCAGTCTATGTATGCTGAACTCCTGTTCTGTTATGGGTATAGACCAGTTTTATGTGGCGAACTTCTGTTCTGTTACAGGTATAGACTGGTTTCTGATCACTTATACCAGTAAAAGTGTAATGTCTGTGCTTGGCCTGGATGTGTAAGCCCCTCAGCCTGCTTTATGGGGTTCCTTGGGGTTAAGGTGGCTTAACCCCAAGGAACCACTGTTAGATCAATCTTGGTCTTTGCCAGCAAGGCAGCTAACTAATGTTAATTGTGGTGCTGGTACCTGAGAGACAGCTAATCGCATGTTTAGAAAGCACCAGATATGTTTAACATCGGTGCAAGACTACCAAGCTATCTTGACTACTCTTGTCATTGCTAACTTGTGTTGGATTTACTGATCTCCTGAAACATCTCATTCCTCACTGTCCATCTGCCATTTAAATAGATAGGGTAAAAGTCCAAAAAAGTGAAATATTAATTGTTTTTTTAAATGCTTATCAGTTATTGTTACATAGCAAACGTGATAAAGAGTGCTAAGTCACCACACATGTTCTCTAGGAACCTGAAACACGGTTGTCCCAGATTTCTGTAAAAATGGTCTTATTTAATTAAAATCAACTGTGATAACAGAGAACTGGAAAAAAGCTTTAGGTCTTATGTGTAAAAGACCAGTGAACTTCATATCAGTGCCAGGCCAAAAGAGTAATTACAGCAAGCATTATAAATCAGCCATATATACATAGGCAAAGATGGATGTAAAGAAAAAAATGTGCTATGTCAATCTGCTAGTATTTTTTGAGCATTTGAACAATATAGTGGATAAAGTTTATATTTTTTATCTGGACATTAACAAAAGTCTTTTAACAAGAGGCTGTTAAGGAAGCCTTCTGAAGAGACACAGGGACTGGTGGCATTCAGTGTAGCATTTAATGACTTGCAAAAACTGTGAACAGCAAGGTGGCACAAGGGCTAGGTACAGACATTGAAAAGGCCAGAGGAGGAATCAATCTGTTACATGGTTTTCTGTGCATGCACACGTGCACACACACACACGCATACACAAACACACACAGCATTTATGTACATATACACAACATTTATATCTATCCATAACATTTATATATATAATGTTACATACATGTTGTTATGTTCCACAGATGTATATAGGGTGTGTGTCTATATACACACACACATACATTATACTTAAGTATACTATATATACAATAAAATCTCTGTTATACGGTACTTCACCAACCGGAGTTTCTGGACGGCTGGCCAGACGCTGGGGTGGTGGAGCAGGCCAAAGCTCGCATGCAGTGGTCACCACCGCCCCCCACCACCCTGCACTGTCACAGCTCTGTGTGCAGCCATCACCACCACCCCTGCTCCATGTTATCTGAAAATCCTGCCGGGTTATTTCAGATAACCTCAGTTTTTACATAACTGGCAATCCCCTTACCCCAGGGATGCCAGGTAACAGAGATGTTACTGTAATATATATATTATCTATCTATCTATCAATCAAAACCTAAGAAACTCATTGCCACACACAGCTTTGAAGCTAAGAGTTGCAGGTTAACATGTTTCACAAAAGAAGACCTTTATATGAATATGGAAAACTTCCGTTGTCACCTTAGACTGCAGTTTAAATATGATTCCTTTAGGCATCATGCAAAATCCTACCACTTTCTCCAAGGCTTAGTATGAAACTTCCTCTGTGGTCAGGTTGGTCCATGTTTGACCATTCCTGGAAGATAATAGCCTGCATAATCCTTGGAACATGGTGTAATGTCTTGTGCTTATGTATGGAAGCATATAATATTACTGTCAGAGAGAGTATACTGGATTATATGGTCTATCGATCTGACCCAGTAGGGCTATTTCTATGGTTCTGCAAACAAAATCCAGTGGCTCTGGGAGTGGATTTTGCAGAATAATGGCTTTAAGTTTAAGCATCAATTTGAAATGTTTCTTAGTGCTGCAAAGGCTGCAGAGAGAGTAACTAAATTGTGGGCAATGACATCTCTCTGCAGGGCAGGTTTAGCAGCCATGCAGGTATCTAATGCTTTTACACCGTGTGCCAGGGATTATGCAGGCTATAATCGTCCGCATGAGCACTTTGTTTCTTCTGTGCAAGAGATCCCAGAGTTCTGTTCTAAAAACAAAATGAGCAGTCAATGCATGCATCACAATTTACCGAGTGGGGTTAATTTACTAAATAGCAAAGGATTTGGACCATTAATCTTGGGTCACATCCTCAGCGGGTGTAAATAGGTCTAGCACTGTCAGTGCTAATTGGCACCAAATGCATGCATGTATCCAAGTGTTATTATCTCCTTCTCTCTCTCATTTGCTACCTTCTATTTCACTTATTATTGATGCTGTCCTGGAAGAAGCATGGCTCTGTCATGTCTAAGAGTGCTGATCAGTGATCATTCATAATTCTAGTAAGCGTGACATGAGAGACTTGTCAGTTCGTCTCCTTCTTAAAGGGTGCGTTTACATGAGACACTTAATGTGCCTAATAACACTGAGCAGTAGCATGGTGGGCAAAAACCATGCTAATATGATACTGTGCAGTAGTATTAGGCTATTGCGCAGTAAGCATCACTAAAAGCCTGCATGCTGGCGGTACTGCTCAGTAACTCTAGTTACTGTACATTTAGTTAGTACTTTGTTAAGCAAGTACTAAATTAAATGCACAGAAACTACTGCGCATTAATGAACATGTAGACATGCCCAGTGAGACACCTGCTTGCAAGAACGGTTTCCGAACTTATCCACGAGAAGCCAAAGACCTGTAGGTTTTAATTTTGTCTTCAATTATTATTCCTGAAAACTAAGCCAAGTGGAGCATTGTACTCACAGCTCTTGAACACAATAAGATCAACACAGCAGCAACAAACATATTGATCAAGCAGTTCAGCAAGAAAAGTCATTGGAGAGAGCAGGTGCTTGGCTGTTGTTAAAGCAGAAGTGGCTACTATTTCGGGAAGATTTGTGAGCCACCCCCTATTATTATTTTTTTCCTGTGATGTGGAAATAAATGTATTGGTTCCATTATAAGAGTGTTTTCCATCCTGGGGCCTAAGCCAAACTGCGAAGAAAATGGAATCGCTCAACCATAGTTGTATGGTATTGAATCTTTCACTGCAGATGCAGTCAAAACAGTAAAGTTCTGTATATCTTACCAGCTTATCCCTGTGCCCATAGCTGGATCTAGGATTTTGAAAAGGTGGGGGCATGGCTGCAAACTTCTGGGCTCCCAGTGTCCCCCTCCCTGCACCTTGTTTCACTCCGCAGCCCCCTCCAGCTCGAGCCACTCCACCAGGCACCGCATAGTGTCAAACTGGAGCTGGAAGACATGCCAGTGGCTGCACTTCCACGCAGCTAGATCCAAGCAAGACTTTGGAGGGAAAGGGGGTGAGGAGCAACCAGAGGCCCCCGGGCTGGCAAAGGGCACCCGGGGTGGGGGGGCTCAGCAAGGAGCAAGTACCGAAAGGGGGAACCTGCTTGCCACCGCCTCTCTCCCTAGCTCACCTGGGGGTTGAGGGGGCCGCAGGCCCACTCCTACCCAATTCAAGCCGAAGACGGCAAGGAGCAGTTGTTTGGGGTGCTGGGCTGAGGCAGGGAAAGGAGAGGCAGCCAGCAAGTCTCTTCTTCATGTACCTGCTTCCTGCCCAGCCATTCTGGGTGTCCAGCACCAGCTGGACCAGGGACTCCAGCTGCATCTCCCCTGTGGTCCGAGCTGTTACTCAGACTCCCCCCAGGCATCCAGGGCCCTAGGGAAGCAGAACTGGTGCCATGTCTTTCAGAGAGCTCACTGCTCTCTACACCACCACCCCATCCCCAGATCAGCCCTGGCCTATGCCCTTAATGCAGACAACAATAGGAATGGCTCATATATACAGGGCCATACAGCTGTTTACTGGCCCGAGCTTTTTCCATTTCTGTGATAATTTGGCTCAGCATCAAGAAAACTTGCACCCTGCCACCACCACCACTTGAAGAAGCCAGAAACCAAAAAAAATGGGGAGTGGGGAGGGGACGGCCCCGGACAGCAGAGTACAAAGGAGAGGTGGGAAAATAAGGCTACGAATGTGTACGGTGAACCGAGAACAGAGAAGGAGGGTATGCTGGCTGGTTGCTGTGCCCCAGCCCACCCGTGCCCTTGTTATACAGGTAGAAAAGGCTCTACAGAAGGGAACATATTCTTCCAGACCAGAGTTCACCTGTTAAATCCCTACCTGTGTTGGAGGCAGCAGGAAGTTACCACAGCCCAGACCTGCTCACACGTACACAGCGGCATACGCAGCTGCTTCTATACAGCCCAGTTCTGCTCTCACGCCACACTGGCGTAGATATGCTGATTGGACTGGAGCTATCCCTGACAGACATTTGCATAAGTGAAATGAGAACCTGGCCCTTGATATGTTTAATTAAAAATATATACCCAAAAAGGGAGTCTGTTTTGAAACTCAGGAACAGATCCTACTCTACTTATTAGAGGCCTAAGGCCTAAGTGGACTTACCTGCCAACATGTGAACTTATTCTACCCTGCTTTAGTCCCTGGAAAACTGTGAATACAAAAGGTGGGTGGGTCCCTCTTTTCCTCACTGCTTTTCTGTCCCTTAGTCCAAAGGCTCAGTTTATGGTGTAACAAAAAAATGCAGTCATTAATAGAGATTTCCAGGGACTAGAACAGAGTGGATGGGATAGGATCGCACTTTGGCATCCGTGTCCACTTCAGGGGCCGGATGGGTAAGTAGAGTAGTATCTGCCCAGAGTGTTTGTAGACCCCCGTACAGTAGAAAGGCTCCTATGTTTCAAATATCCAAAACAAGATGGATACTCATAGGTCTCGCAAAATCCAAATAATATGTCATTTAGCTACTGCTGACTCCAGTGCAGCAATTAACAAAGCACCACAAATTTGTAGTTCTGTATTGGTACCACCTAGGCTGCTGATTCTGCAATACTATTATTTAGAAAGGATAAAGCATAATGGGAGCTGTAGATCTTGTTAAACGAGCAGCTATAACTATTACAAAATAGCCAAGTTAATTTTTCCTCAGTTAGAAGCACAAGGAAAATAATCTGTCGCTTTCCCTTGATTAGAAAGATCTGTGGGGGGAGCTCAGATAAAACCTAGACAATAGTGGTGATTGTTAAGCTTTTTCTTCATCAAGTTGATAGGCTCTGAATAAAAGCCTGGTTTACATTAGTGTTCCCACTTTACAGGTAGGGGAACAAGGTACAGACAATTGGCGATTTGTCCAAGTCATTCCAAAATGTCTTTGACACGTCCTGAGCACTTATGTAGTAGTAGTGATAGTAATTACGATAGCAGTCTGTGGACTGACCTGATGATCTTTCTTTTTGAAGATTGTTTCTGGGACATTTTGTTTTTATTTCCCTCTTCTGAATTGGGCTTAGTAGTGGTGAAAGAAGTATTGTGTTTGGGGATCTAAAGACTTTCCAGACGTATATAGCTGCTAAGCGATGTTAGTATCTGGTTGATATTTAATACATTTGTTCGGATGTAATTGAGAGCACACCCACCATAAAAGGACAAATTCAAATGGTAACACTGCAACAGCATGATTGCTTTTCCCATTATTTATCCTTACAACAGAGATAACCTTTTCCTTATTGAAATATAATTGCTTAGGGAGATAGTTGTTTTAAAATGGAATTAGTAGCGCTAGCTAAACATTTGGAAGGAACTTGCCGTAATAACCCTTTTTTCTGTCAACCTCTCTAGAGCATCGTGTCACTCATACTTTAAAATTAATTGAAAATTGAAAACTGAACAACAGCTAATCTTTAGGCTTGTTAGAGCACGTCCCTGATATTATCTTGAGTGTAAAAACCATAACTGGAGTTCAGCAATCTACTTCCAGCACTTACC